TGCTATAGACGGGCCCATTTCATTGAGCAAGAGGTGACTATACATGAGGTCAATCAAGAGTCAATTAGCCAATCAGTTAACTAGCACTTATTAGGTGAGTGCCTACTAGGTGCGAGAAACTGAGCTAAGGGCTGGAAATACCCTGAAGAGTTTTACAAGTTTGGGTGATAAATAATCCTAGATATTGGTCTAGCCCTAAGACTCACCAAGGTAGCGTGATAGTTAAGTGGGCACTGGACATGGAGTCACAGGGGACCTGAGTTCAGGTCCCAGCACAGCCATGCGAGCTATGTGAATTTTGGCAAGTCAAATGTTCTCAATGGGCTACCGCTCCCTCAGCTGCAAAATGAAATGATTAGGCTAAATTGTCTCCAGGTTATTTTACAGATCAGCCTCTCCAGCTTTCTGGGGTGCTAGGATTCTAAACTATTCATGTAAGCTTCACCACGTTTGGTCAGAATGCCAGGTGGGGCCAATGCAATCTGGAAAGAAGATAGTAATCAACTTTCTCAATGTAAGAATGGATCTAGTTTTCTACCAATTATATAACAAACTTCAATTCTTCGATGTATCAATGGGTTTGTTATTTCATAAATGTGGGTACTCACGTCAGTAAGAGATATTCCACAATTTGCAGCCACATAGTATCAGGAGAATATTGACATTAAAAAAGATGAGTTTTTGAAATGTTTTACATATTTTCACATATATAGCCTATATCTGATTGCTTACCATCTCGGGGATGGGGGAAGGGAAGAGAAGATGGGAGGAACAGAATTTGGAACTCAAAACTTCAAATAAAAATGTTAAAAAATTGAAGAAGAAAAAAAGTCAAGTTTTAGAAAAAAAAAAAAAAGATGAGTTTTTGTTCCAAAGGGAAGGGCTAGGAGTCCTTAAAAACACTGCCCCATTTCCCAAATACAATCCAGACTGCTCTCTTCTACCACACCTCACTGTACATCTGCTGTGTCTGTCCGAGATAGAAGTGTTGCCAGCACAACACAGGGGACTGTTCACCTGATTATATGTCATGAGGATGAGATCCTTACAAGTCAAGAATCTGATTACAATCCAAAACAGACTATTTTTCTTTTCTGTACTGAACATTTTCTGTACTGAAAACATTAAACTGTGGTAATTTAGCCACCAATTTGGAAACTTTTAGCTACTGTTCATTTTGAAACCTGCTTTTGATATTTAAACACTAATTTCAAACCTAATTTGGCTGTTCTTGATTTAGAAGGAAAAAGAGATTCCTGGGATAAGATGTGAGTTCACTTCAGACCCTATTTCAAAGACTACATAATGATTTCCAGAGTTGGTTGAGCTTTTTATTCATGTTTAATGTAAAAGGAAAAGTTGTCTCTAATATTTCCGTAAAGATCTACTGTTCTGGTTTTTCTCAGTTTTTATGATAGTTTTACTCATCATGCAGCAATATGGTGTATAATTTATACTTATTAAAAGGGTCACACAATTGAATTTTTATGCTTTGTGTCTCTGTTTAACATCCACTACAAACACAAGGTTATCTAAAATTAGAAAACACACCTTACAATGACATCCCACCCAGACATTGTTTACGTTTGGCCATCAATCTCACTTTTTCTCCCAGCAGAGTGAATTAGAAGAGTGATAACTATCTCAGCCCAAAGGGTACAATGTACAATTAAGACATTGAACAGGAAACCAAAGAATGTGAAAATAGACAGAATCCCACTAGTGCCACCTACAGCAGACATGGAGAATGCAGCTAAGACTGGTTCAGAACAAAACAAAACTAGGAGGGGCTGTTTAACCAAATCCATGGCATCTTACAGTAAGTCATTACAGCTTTACAGAAAACCTTTCACTGAACACAGAAAATCATATGAATATGCTTTTCATCAGAAGGGAGGATTTGAAACTGAACAATCACCTAGGTTTGCACCAAGCCAAAAAGAACAAGTAGCGACATCCAAAAGGCATTACGTGTGTGTGTGCGCGCACGTGCATGTGTGCGTGTGTATGCGTGCGTGCATATGTGCGTGCATGCGTGTGGGGGGGAGTAAAGGGACAAAGTAAGATACAGAGATGGATTTGAAGTATTGGCAATGTTAGTTCAAAAAACATCAAGACAATCACGGGAAGACAACTTAAAATGGAGCACTAGAGCTCATCACGAACCTTACACTCCACCACACTCTGATCTGATTCACAAGTAACATAGATTTCGTCTACTGCTCGTCGAAGATTGTCAAACAGGAATGCCCAGTAGCGTGCTCTTAGGTCAATTTTCCGAGGGTGCCTTGTTTTAGTGGGACTTTTTTCAAAATGTTTATCTCCAACTGAGGATGATGTTATTTTACAGTCTACCGTAGCATTCTAAAGAAAGTTTAAAAAAAAAGACATTTTTATTGTCAAGAAATTTTAATTTTATGTAATATACATTTAACATATTTAAACACTTTTAGATAAAACATTCTCCTTTTCAACTTGCACCATATTACATCTATGTTATCTGAAACAAAGTTTCTTGCCATAAAACAAAAGGGCAGTTTTATGATTCAGTATTTTATTTCCAATATTATTGGGTGCATATTTAAGTCAGGTTTAATAGCCGAAAATATTTTGAAAATAAAAAGTCACACATGTGGTTCCTCATTTAATGGAACACAAGTCCAAAGATTCCTCACGGCACAGGAATGACCCTGGATTCTCCAAGACTCAACTGGTGTAACACAAGCTCTGAAAGTTCCTACCATGGCAGAAATGCTTCCAGGACACTGACTGGTTATTATCTAAGCAGCAGACCAGCTAAATGTGGAGAGGTGCATTCTCAAAACAAGACAGTGAATTTTTCAGTCATAGCAATTCGTAACATTATCTACTAAGGCACAGAGGGCTTGGAAATAGCATTTATCTGCTGTGACTGACCGTTTTGATTATACCCACAGATCACAAACCTATGCCAAGTATGGCACAGATTTCTATCCACAAATGTGATTCCTAGATAGCTGAGTATGAGTCAGAAAGGTTTGAGATCAAATTCCACTTCATACACTTACTAGTGATACGATCTTGGACAAGCCGCTTAACTTCTCTAAAGCTCATGACCCTTGTCTGTGAAACCAAGATATCAATACATGTAGTATATACCTCTCAGGGCTGCTGCGAGGCTCAAATGAAATAATGCCATAATATTAATACCAATTACTAAGTGTATATATTAAATGTATTTCTTTGCTTAATTTAAAATTGAGAATTCACACTACAGGTACAGTCAATGCCCTAACTTCACCTTAAACTATTTTCCCCATGATAAGTAAAAACTACAATGAAGACAGAAAAGAAACACACAAAAAAAACTATAAGCATAATTAGAATCAAGAACCCTAGATAGCCAACTATAACTGAATAATGGATTGAAATTTGTATTCACACATGTCTAAAAAATACATGAAACATTATTTAATCACCTAGTTAAAAGTTCCTTTTCATAAATACAAAATTACCTCCTATTTACAGAATTTCAGAAAATTTTTACAGACTAATGAGTAAAATTAATCTGAGAGAAATGATATGTACTGCCATTGAGTTATCTAAGTGGAAAATTCAAAACTAGTATTTCAGCACTAAATATAAAACAACTACAGATCATTCCACTAATACTTTACAAACTGAATTAAAATTAAAATCTGACCTACTTCAGCATAGGCAATATTCAATGCCAGCTGGGTCTGTTATCAGAAGACACCCAGTTTGCAGGAACATCTACCACAGATGTTATGCCCTTTAATGTCATGTTTCAGCCCTAGGCTACTAGTGTTATGTTGTTTCCCATCCATTACAAACATCCTCTTTCCACAAGGGAATCTTTTGTAACCGTATTACTGATTTCAGAACAGAATCTACAAAGAACACCAGAACCACTGCCACCAAAAAAAAAAAAAATCAAACCCCAAAGCAAAATCCTATGATATGGAGACAAGTTCTCCTTCCTTCTACTACTTCTCCCTCATAACAAATTCGTTGTCCTAGCAGAGAATCTCTTCACCTCACCAAACTTCATAAATCTGGAGATTAAATTTCAACAAAGTATTATCCTTCATTCCATTATTTCTAATTAATTGGCATATCCTTATTTTTTTTCTAGACAGCATTTCCTCTATTTGTCCATGGTTCTCTCATTGTTCTGACTTACTGACACTCTATCATCTTCTGACTGGACCAGACTGAAGTCACAAAACATGGGTTCTACTCCTGGCTCTACCAATTACTAGGAGCATGACCTTGGGAAGATCACTTCCCCTTCAGTTTTCCTCAACTGCAAAATGAAAGGGTTGAATCAGCTGATCTCCAAGGGTCTTCAAAGAAAAGTCTATGGCAAACTTCACAGAACAAATCCCAGTCTGGACTCAGTCAAAGGGCCACACTTGAGGACCTAGAGGGCCACATGTGACCTTGCAGCCACAGGTTCCCCACCCCGGTCTATGATTTATGATTATAGCAAAGACAGCACTCACTAGAGTACCCTTTCCCCTAAAAAATCCATCCTCATCTCCATCAACTCAGAGCATCACTTTATGGAATGTACTTAACTGAATCAAAATTTAAATCTGTACATAAAACAATATGCAATATGTAATTTCTGAATGATTAGCTCCACATATCATAACGTTAGGGAGCTGGTTGAAAGCATGAAGTAGAATGTTGATACTGCACCTGTTTAGTGGTTTTCTGGGTGCCCGGAATTGTTCTCTTGGATTTTCCACCAGTCTGCCATTTAGACTTCCCTTCAAGAAAACAAAAAAAAGGTTATCACTTATAGAAAGCACTTCAATTAATTCCTTCAGACATACAAAGACTTAACCTCCTCACTGTCTTCAGCATTAACAAGATTTTCATACCACTTCTTTGATAAAGAATTAGAAATTCTACAAATTGCAGTAAGAGAGAAAAAAGATATTAGTGCCAAGGGTTATGGACTTCTCTTGGCAGCCTAGTGAAAACTATGCTCTCTTTCGCTGCCTGATCGTTGTCACCATGGATCGCACACTCCTGGGAAGGGCCTGTTCCAGGCGGCTCTGCCTTACCGCCGCAGTGTGCCCACATGGCTGACGCTCACCTCGGACAACGGGAAGGAGCAGATCTACGAGCTGGCCAAGAAGGGCCTGACGCCCTCCCAGATCGGCGTGATCCTGAGGGATTCTCATGGCATGGCACAAGTATGCTTTGTAACTGGCAACAAAATTCTGAGAATTCTAAAGTCCCAGGGACCTGCCCTTGCTCTTCCTGAAGATCTTTTATCATTGATCAAGAAAGCTTTTGCTGCTCGAAAGCATCTTGAGAGAAACAGAAAGCACAAGGATTCTAAATTCCATCTGATTCTGAACGAGAGCCGAATTCACCGGCTGGCCAAGAGAGTACTCCCTCCCAATTGGAAATATGAATCATCCACAGCCTCTGCTCTGGTTGCATAAATTTTGGTTTATGTACTAAAATAATAAAGTCACATCTAACTGGAAAAAAAAAAAAACTAATGGGCTCCTTTCTCAGAATAACGGTTTAAATAGATGAAATACAAAGAAAGATATAAATTATATGAAATAAATTTATAAAAACATTTAAAAAACAAATTCATGGACTTCAAGTTAAGAAGCCCTGCGTTAGTAAAATTAACACTGGAAAAGAAGATGTTAAAATATCATTACTTATATTTTGTTGTGGGGTTTTTTGTTTTTTTTTTGGTGAGGCAATTGGGGTTAAGTGACTTGCCCAGAGTCACATAGCTAATGAGTGTCAAGTATTTGAGACCGGATTTGAACTCAGGTCTTCCTGACTCCAAGGTCAGTGCTCTGTCTACTGCGCCATCTAGCTGCCCCAATATCATTTTTGTAAATCACACTATAGTATATCTAGAAAATCCAGTAATCTCAAGAAAATAAATTATGGAAGCAATAGATGTTTTTGGTAAAGATGCAAGATACTTGACTAATCCACAAAAATCATATGAATTCTTATTTACTAATGACAAAGATAAAAAATTATTAAAAAAACCATTTGTAATAACAAAAATTATCAAATACCTGGGAATTAATTTACTATAAAGTCATATAGTAGGTTAATATATATTAATATATGACATCTTAAAAACTACAATGAAAGAAATAAGGAAAAACAAATAATTGGAGGACCATTCATCAATCAAAAATGAGTAGGATTAATAAAAATGACAGTACTCTTCAAATATTATATAGTTAACCAATACTAATCAAATTACCAAATGTTTTTATACAACTGGATAAAAATATAATAAAACTTACATGTAGAAACAAATAGATGAGAATATCAAGAGATATGCTGAAAAAAATAGGTCAAGAGAGGTCTTACACTCTTGAACTTTAAGGTTTATTACAAAGGCATAATTATTCTTGTTGTTAATAATAATAGCTAGAAATTATATAGTACTTCAGGGTTTTCAAAGTGCTTTACATACATCATCTCATTTGAGTCTTTCAAAAAATGTTTTTCAATTATCAAAGATCTACCTTTTCTCTTTCCCACACAGCCTCCCTGCTACCAACAGAAAGAAAAACAAAATACCCCGTCACAAATGTGTAAAAGTGTAACAAATTTCCACATCAGCCAAGTTAAAAAAAAAAACCCATATATATGCATCTGCCTCTCCCTTATCCCACTCAGTGTATTCCTCTTCTTCTTCCTTTCATTTTTTTATGCTCATTCTTACAGACTTATTTTCTGACTGTGGAATCGTGTTAAGGCCAGGCTCCGCACACTTCTGGAAGAAATGTCTAGGCCATGCTTAATCCTCTTTTGTGTTCTGCTTTCTGAGTATACTGACTATTGTGTTATTCTAGGATGTTAAGGACAGCTCAGCCTGAGAACCTGCAAACTTTCAGTTTACCCAAAGCAGTTCGATCTTCAAGGGCTAAGACTGAATGCTCATGGTCTGGCTTCTGCCTGTTTCTGACCCGGGTGTGGGTCTGAACAACACAACTGTGGGAGCGCCAACAGACTGCTATGAGACTTGGCCACTGTCAGTCAGCTAGAAAGCTCTGCAGGGTCAGAAGGCCACACTTGTAGACTCCCCTTCGGTCTGGACCTCCTGTCTTGCTTATTCCAATGCAGGCTTGGGCCCAGGCTGAGGGCTGGCGTTTGTGCAGTGGTTGTGGGGTCAGCTGCACTGCACTGCTTCTTCCTACTTTACCATCTTAGCTATTCTCTTCATTAGTTAACTTGTATAAGGTCACATAACTACTTATGTGGTGGATCCAGCACAGAAACTAAAGCTTTCCAACCCCAATTCCAGGGCTCTTTTCCACTATAAGATGGGAAAAGTATTATTATTATTATTATTATTATTATTATATTACAATTAGATCTATGCAACAATGACAGGGCTTGCATCAATGCAGTGAGCTCCCTGTCACTCTAAGTGTTCATTCACGGCTAATTATCTGTATTTTGGCAAGGCTGGAGGAGGCATTTCTTCTTTGGGTAGAACTCTGAATAGATGACCTCCAAGATCCCTTCCATTCTGCAACTGGGATAAAGTATATTTTTGTAGACCTTGCCCTCTCTATTGCCCAAAGGTCACAAATGAATCTTTTTTTAAAAATACTTATTGGGCTGAAGATCCCATTTGCTATTTCATGACTCAGTTAAAAAATCAAACTCACAAAACGCATGCAGTAATGAGTTCATAATTGAAAGCTTAATTAAAAAGATTTGATATTTTTCTTTTTTCATGGATAGGTAAGTATTAGAAAAGGAAAGGATTACAGATTCTCCTACTTAGTTCACCAAATATATTGGTTAAAAGCACAGGACTATTTAGGTATAAAGTCACCCATGAAAAGAACATTACTGAGAGACAAACTTTTGGGGAGGCCGAAGGGAAGAAATCGCGCAGTTCATTCTTTGTGACACATTTCATATGTTACTGTTGTGGTTGGTCGTGGTTGCTCAGTCATTTCAGTCGTGTCTGACTCTTCATGACCCAATTTAGGGTTTTCTTGGCAAAGATACTGGAGGGGTTTGCCATTTTTTTTTCCAGTTCATTTTACAGATGAGGAAACTGAGGCAAGCAGGGTTAAGTGACTTGCCCACATAGCTAGTAAAATACTGAGGTCACATTCAAACTCACATCTTCCTGACTCCAGGCCTCGCACTCTATCCACTGAGCCACCTAGCTGCCCCATATCATATATTTCTTTCTTTTAAAGTCTCTGTGATTTAACTTACAGGTTTTGTGTTGTTCAAGTCCCAGACATATTAAAACTTCTAAGAAATCAACTTGTGTGACAGGTTGTGTGAATGGACAGAAGGGGATGTACTCTAAAGACCACTGAGGCAGAAAAGACAAGATGTGGTAACTAGATGGATGGGATGAGCGAATGTGAGGAGGAGAGGATGACATCAAGGTTGTGATCTTGGGAAGATGGTAGTGTTCTTGAGAGAAATAGGGATGATCGAAAAAGAACTGGATTTGGCAGGGTGGGGAGCAGAGTTCTGTTGTGAGTGTGACATGTCTACGGGACTTCCAATTCAAAATTTCCAACAGGCCATTGGTGATGCTGGACAAGAGCTCTGGAGAAGGACTTGAGCTGGATATATAGATATGGGAGTTATCTGCATAAATGTAATCCCATGGGAGTCAATGAGGTCACCAAGTGAGAAAATGCAGATAGGAAAGAGGTCCCAGGACATAGCCTTGGGGTTCAACCACAGTGGGCAAGGCACGGATGTTGGTCCAGCAAAAGAGATTGAAAAAAGTTATCAGACAGGTAAGAGGAGAACCAAGAAAGAAACCCAGAAAGGAGGGGTTAAACAGGTACAGTGGATGGTCAACAATGTAAAATGCTACAGAGAGGCCAAAAAGGATGAGAACTAAGAATAAACCAAGAGGGTGAGGCTAGGTGGCACAGTGGATAGAGCACTGGCCCTGGAGTCAGGAGCACCCGAGTTCAAATTCCACTTCAGACACTTACTGGCTGTGTGACCCTGGGCAAGTCACTTAATCCTGACCCCCTTAAAAAAAGAAAAAAATAGACTAAGAGTTCCAGCAATTAAGAGATCACTGTTGACATTGGATGAAGCAACTGAGTTTAATGATAAAAGCCAGATATAATATATCTAGGGATATAATAACTTCTATAAACACATTTGGGTACTCTGAATATATAAAACTTTTGGGTAGACTAATTGGCATATTATGTTTCAATTTGGGATGTATTCTCCCCTATGGGATCTAGGATTATGTTTGTTCCCAACTCAAATTTATTTGAGCATCTTTTCCCTAAAAGCTCCCTTTTCAGAGTCAAAGGCTCTTTCTATCCCTCTAATTAAATCAGAAAGAAAAAATTCCCTTTAACATCTACTAATCTTCTTTTTGACAGCAGAAGATATACCACTTGGAGAATGGGGATCAAGTGACAAGAAGAGGCACTAGAATCCGTGATAGGTTGTCAAAGGACAGTAAATATTCTAACTCATATATCCTAAATACATTACTATTTCTAATATTTTTCTTCTGAACTTTTAACACTCAAAATCCTGGAAATAAGTAATTTTTTCTTTAAGTTGTTCTTATTTTCTTTTTAATTTAAAACATACAAAAAGATTGCATTCTATAGGATGTGTTGGGTTCTTTTTTAAAGCCATATCCTTTATATATAGCCTCTCAATGGACCTCTGGATTTTCTTTAATTTTTTAATTATATTTTATTTTTTTAAATCAGCAAAAAACTAACTTCTCATCTATTCTCCCTTCTCACACACACCCCACTCTCATCTCATTGAGAAGGAAAGAAAAACAAAATCCTTGTTCCAAATATGTATAGTCAAACAAAACAAATTTCCATATTGGTCATGCCTAAAAACCAGGTAGATATATACATACATATATACATACAGACATACATATACACATAATATGTATACATACACACATATACATACGCACATATGTGCATATCTAAATATGCCTCATTCTGTGCTCTCAGACTTTCACCTATCAGGTGACAAGTAAAATGTTTCATCATTAGTCCTCTGGAATCATGATTAGTCATTAAACTAAGGAGAGTTTCTAATTCTTTCAAAATTGTTTATCTTGGGCAGCTAGGTGGTGCAGTGGATAGAGCACTGGCTCTGGAGTCAGGAGGACCTGAGTTCAAATCCGGCCTCAGACACATAACACTTACTAGCTGTGTGACCCTGGGCAAGTCACTTAACCCCAATTGCCTAAAAATTTTTTTTAAAAATTGTTTATCTTTACTCTATGGTTGTCTTAGGATAAATTCTTCTCCAAGATTTTCCTGCTGCATGAGTTCATATGTCTTCTTAGGTTTCTCTAAAACCATCCCCTTCATCAATTCTGATAACACAATAGCATTCTATCACATTTATTTGCCATAACTTGTTTGGTCATTTCCCAAATTATGGGCACCCCTCTCAGATCTTCATATTTTGCTACCTCAAAAAGAAC